GTGCAGGTGTATACCCCAAAATTCAAATATTTATAAAGTATTTATATTGGCTTGAAGATCCTGTAAATCATCATGGGGAAAAGATGTATCAAAATAAATGGAAGTCACGTCAGAAACAAACTTAAGTCCATTTCAGTTAAATAAATTGTTTAAAGCACCTTAAAAAAAAAAAGAGAGATGGACTGTGGGCGCTGCCCCCAGCCCCTAGGAAGGGGGTGGAGCCGCCATCACCACACTGGTGGACTGGCAAGGGGCCTTGAGTTGGACGGCTGTGGAAGTCTGTGCTGGGTTCTCCAGTAGTCTGGTTTCCTCTTGGTGGGTTTTTGCAGAGTCCTAGCTGAGGACTCTGGGTAAGGCACAGACGTGTGCCTCTTCAGATGAAAGAGGCAAATCAAGCCCTCTGACCGCTGGAGGACAGGGTATGGCTCCTCTGTAACTCAGCGCTCGTGAATGAGTGCTGCTCCTGGCAAGCCGGTTCCTTTGAAGTCAAACCACGATGCTCTTATTCGACCAAGCTGCATGGCTGGGAGGAGTCCTGACTTAGCAAGAAGCCCGAGTCAAGGCATTTACAAGGCGAAGGACTCCTGTGAGGTGGCTAACACCTGGAAAATTGGTGAAGAGGGCAAAAACAATGATGCTTTATGGGGCACCACACCCATTCCTGGCAGCATATAAAGCTGGGGAGAGGACCAGGCTTACACCAGAGATAGGAAGTCAGGTTGTGAAGTTGATTCTCAGAGCTCTGCTCCCTCCACAGCCACCATGCCCTACACCTGCTGCCTGCCCGCCCTGAGCTGCCGCACCAGCTGTTCCTCCCGGCCCTGCGTGCCCCCCAGCTGCCACGGCTGCACCCTGCCCGGGGCCTGCAACATCCCCGCCAACGTGGGCAACTGCAACTGGTTCTGCGAGGGCTCCTTCAATGGCAGCGAGAAGGAGACCATGCAGTTCCTGAATGACCGCCTGGCCAGCTACCTGGAGAAGGTGCGCGAGCTGGAGCGCGAGAACGCGGAGCTGGAGCGGCGCATCCAGGAGCGGAACCAGCAGCAGGAGCCCTTGCTGTGCGCCAGCTACCAGTCCTACTTCCGCACCATCGAGGAGCTGCAGCAGAAGGTGAGCGGGGGGTGCCATGCCGTTGGAGTAATGAACCACGTATTCCAATATCACATATCAGGGTCTGGGTCGATCAGGCTGTCGGCGACAGATTCCGACAGTGCTGAAGATGTGGGGTTTACTCGCTTAGGTAGGAGACAAGCTAGGTTGGGAAATCTAAGGTTGGAGTCACTTTGTGGGAAGAACCTGGGCTGGGAGCAGGGTGAGGCATCAACCTCAAAGAAAAGCCATTGCACTCCACTATTACCCAGCCAGAAAACTTGACTTTTAGGCTCTGTCATGATACCTTGACCCTGTTTTCAGAGAATTGGAGTATATCATGAAAAGCAACCATGTGCTCCTGAATTAGTTCTCTGCAGTAGGGATTTGCTGAGTGAACCCTTACATATTGAAGTCTTTCAAGACTGGTGTCTGCTAAAGCAGAAGAAGGCCTCACTGATGTAAATGAACACATCCGACCTAGCAGAGCAGGCGGGAACCCAAATGACAAGGCAGGGCCACAGATGCAGGGGCAACAGTGGGTACACATCGAGGTGGGACATGGAAGCTTTCCCAGAAGCGCCAGCATCTGAATGGTGCTGAAGGATGAGCAGGAGTCCGTGTCCAAGGGCTCCAGCCCTGTTTCTTGAGGGAAGCGTCAGTGTACCATTGCATAGGTCTAGCAGGGCGTGAGCCCAGAGGAGCTACGTGACCCGAGCCTCCCTGAGTGGGGATGAGGAGTGCATTTTCCTTTGACTGTTGGTTCTGAAATACCCAGTTCTGTGCCTGAACCCTCCTCGTAAAATTCAACGTGAAAATCTGCAGGGCCCAGGTCCTCTGGGAAGGACTGTGGCCAGGGGACCCGGCTTTTCCACCAGAAGGCCCAGGCCATTTCCTGTGAGGAGAACTCCCTTTCCCACCCTCCTGTCTGCAGATCCTATGCAACAAGTCTGAGAACTCCCGGCTGGTGGTGCGGATCGACAACGCCAAGCTGGCGGCCGATGACTTCAGGACCAAGTGAGATTCTTCTAACACCAGAAAGTGCAAAGTGGGGGAAGTCGGTGTCCTGGGAATGTTCCAGAAGCTCCGGGGAGGGCACCGAGTTAGATCTAAATTCAAGATCAGCTTTTTCACTGAGCGCTAAGATCTGTGTTGGAAAATGAGTGTGAGGGAAGGGAGTACAAGGAGCCATCCAGCCTTCCTCCTTTTCAATTCAGAATTGGACTGAGTTTAAAAGTGAATTTCCTGCTGGTCTCCTCCTGTCCTTCAGTCACCATTAACCCATCACAGAGAATTTAATAAAACAAAAAGCACAATGGAGGCCAGCATCCAGATCACTGGGAACCTGGCTTACAATAGGACTGCCTACGTCATTTCTGCCTGCGTCATTTCTTCCTCTTCGCACCAACCCCAGGAAGCGTCAGCTGTAGCTTCACTTTGTAGATGAGGAACCGAGGCTCAGAGAGAGAGAGGAAGGAATCTGTCCACAGCCGTTCAATGGCCAAGCTGGATACGTGATTTCTAAATGGGTGCTTTTCTCATTGTACCTGAGGAGAGGATTTTGAGACAGTTTGAAGCAGAATTATGAAGCACAGAGCCTTGCTTCAGAGACAGTGGTGGAGGGCCAGCCAAATAGCTCAGCGGGTTAAAGCGCTTGCAAGCAGGCGCAGGGGCCAGGGGTTTGATTCCCGGGCCTGCCGTGCCAGCCCCGCCCCCAGGGTGTGCTGAGATGGCAACTGAGCCTAGACATGTAGGCGTGTGCCTGTAATCCCAGTTCCTGGGAGGCTGTAGTTAGGCAGGATCACTAGGAGTCCGATCTGGTAGTAAGACCCTGAACACCCTATAGACCCTTCCCTAAAATACAAAAAAGCAAAAAAACTGAGATAGTGGTGGCAGCGCTTCCTGGTTGGCCCTTGTGAGAGATTTTAGAACCAGTGCAGGCAACCACGGATGCGTGTACACTCAGGCACCCCGCTGACACCTTCGCTGTGGGCCTCAGGGAAGAACTAGGTTTCCTTACTGAGCACCACAGTATTTTTTAATTTTTAGAAAACTGTAAAAGTTCAGGATGCTTTAAAACCTAATAACTATGACTAGGTTATTCAAGCCAAGTGCAGGACACAGGCTTCCTCTTTGACCCCCTTCCCCTCCGGCTGCCTGTGTGCAGGTACGAGACGGAGCTGTCCCTGAGGCAGCTGGTGGAGTCCGACATCAACGGCCTGCGCCGGATCCTGGACGAGCTGACCCTGTGCAGGTCCGACCTGGAGGCGCAGGTGGAGTCGCTGAAGGAGGAGCTGCTGTCCCTCAAGCAGAACCACGAGCAGGTGAGGACTCTTCCTGCCCACCGCTGCAGGACTGAATGTTTCTCAACTCCTTGGAGCAGCAGGTAGAAGGAGGCGGGGCCTGGTGTGCCAAGCTAGTACAGTCTTTTGCTGGACTTTGGGGGAGAAATGAGTCACACAAAGCAGACTTCTTTTAAGTAAAGCAGGGGGCCAGGTGACCAATTTCCAACCAGGGCCAGAGGCGCGTCAAAGCTGCCCAGGGCTTTGTATGGTACTTTCTACTGCTTGATAAGATCTATGGTCTGACTAGGCAGCAAGTTACTGTCCAACGTTAGGAGGAACTTGCGTATCTTGTATCATGTGGACAATGGATGGACGGACAGGTGGGAAACACGGAAAGCAGGCTGGAACCCAGAGAACGGTCGGTGCAGATCTCACTGGCGGATGCGATCTGAGGACAGCGGGGGCCTGGCTCCAGCGTTAGATGTTCCCACAGGAGGAAGCGGGGTCTCCGAGACGAGGCACGAAGGTTGGGGACTAGAAAGAAGTAGGGAGATTTCAGCCTGGTTTCTCTCTATCTAACAGCAGTAGTTGTAGTCAGTTGTCACCAAGGGGTTATCACCCAGCAAAGAGACAATCAGAAAGGCATGGTAGACCAGGGGATCAGAAAAGTACAGCAGTAATTCAGTCAGCAGCTTCCTAGCCTAGATGAGGAAGGAGTCGGCAGGCTGGAGTCCCCTGAAAACGGCCCTGGGCTCTCCAGGACCGGACCTCAGCGCAGGTCTCCCAGCCGCGCTGGGCTTCTTGAGAGAGCTTTGTGCACAGGTGCGCTTCTGCGGGCTCATTCAGTCCTCTTCCCGCAGGAAGTCAACACGCTGCGCTGCCAGCTGGGCGACCGCCTCAACGTGGAGGTGGACGCCGCGCCCTCCGTCGACCTGAACCGCGTGCTCAACGAAGTCAGGAGCACGTA